ACGGGCAAGTTCAGCTGCCTCTCGACCCCGGCCAGGTCCCAGCCCCAGGCCCGCCAGGAAGTAGGTGGCTCGGCGTGGGGGAACAAAGTCATCCAGGAATGTCAGGCCCCCTGGGTGGAAGCTCACAGCCTTGGACACCAGCAGGACCGCCTCGCCCGGCTGCCCAAGTGCCGGCACCTTCGTCAGCCAAGTAGGGGACAGGCAGAGGAGCATGTTTCCTGTGGGCAGAGGGAGGAGGGTTGCTGGCCAGGGAAGGCCGGGGAAGGCTTAATGCCCCCATGTCCTTCGCCTCCAGCCCGGGGCCCTGGGTAGTGGGGGGCAGCTGCTCCCAGAACCCACCCCCACTCAGAGCATGGCAGCCGGCCCAGCAGAATGCAGGCACTTGCCAGAGTCAGTGGGTATTTCGGGATGTGGCCGGGCCAGGGCAGGGCTGCCCTTTCTGTAGGAGCGGGCGGGGGAACTTGGGCACATACTCACCCGGGCTCTGGACCCCACCCTCCAGCAGCACAGACAGAAAGGTGCTGGGGGATCCCAGAACGCATAAGGTCACCTCCGCACCAGGGCAGCCTGGGGGTGGGGTGGGGGTGGGGAGAACATTGCCAAGCTCAATAGGGACTCCCCCTGCTATCTTTCTGCCTACCCTTCCCTGCCCATAGCCCCGCCCCCCCCCCCCAGGGGCCCCCAGGTCCTTGCCAGTGTGGGATGAGAAGGGTAGAGAGGACAAGAAGACGCTGGAAAGGGAAAGGGAAACTGCCTGCCCATCCCGCCCGGTGAGGCTGCTCCCTCCTCTCTGCAGCTAGCCTGGGAGGTACTGGAGGCTGAGTGACTAGAGAGCTGGGTTCTAGCCTGGGCTTTGACACTGACTTTCTCTGTGACCCGTAGCCCCCATGCAGTGCGGTGGGGGGGGGAGTCCCTGTGCCTCAGTTTCCCAGTCTGTGATTTTCATGTATTCTGGCTGTGAACCTTCTGTCCACACAAAACCTTTGTGGCCACCTAATCTTTAAAACAGATGTAAAAATTAATAAATAAAAATAAAACAGATAAAATAGGGAAGGAGTTTTGGGTCCCAACTGTTAGCTGCTTCCACAGCAGCTCCCAAGACACGTCTATAGAAGCTCTGGCTCCACAGAACATGGATGACAAATCCCACGGCTCGGTCTTCTGGGGACAGGAGGGAAGCCTTGATCTCTGACTTTACTGGTGCCAGATGCCCTTTGAAACAATGCTCGTCTGCCGGAGGTTGACTGGCCTTGCCTCCCTGGCTCCAGATCCAGCCAGAGCCTGGGGGAAGGGGCTGACCTTGACAGGGATGGGAAGCAGGCTGGGCTGGGGGTGCCCCCCTCCCCCCCAGGGCTCCCCCCTCCCTGGAGCCCTTGGGCACCTGTGCGGGGGACCTGGCTGCGGTCCTGGGTCTCCGGAAGGCCGGCTTGCTGCAGACAGCTCTGCAGGAGGCTATAGTAGTAGACAGTCCAGGCCCGGGCCTCCGCCCCCTCGAGGGAGCCCTTGCAGTCCAGGCCCACGTCCTGGTGCCAGGAGCCAGGGAAGCAGCCTGGGGGCGGCAGGCCAGAGCCTCCTCCCCATGGGCCCTCCTCTTCCTCCAGGTCCTTGGAGCCCAGGGGGCAGTCCCACTTGGGACCCAGCGGATCCAGGGAGAGCTGAGAGGGGCAGAAGTGGTGGGTCTTGGGCAGAGTGGGCAAAGGGCACATTAAGTCACCCAAGGGTATAAGCCCTCCACACCCCTAACCTTGGGTTATGTTCAGGGCAGACACTGTCCTAGGAACCAGGAGGGGATGGAGTTGGGCTAGGGGATGAAGGCCTGTCACCAGGGACATGTAGGTAGAGGTGGTTTGTAAAACATAAGTGCAGTGTTCCGGGGGGCTGGGCGTAGAAAGCAATGTGCTGCTGGCTGGACCACTGCCTCCCCCCCCCCCCCCACCATCCCACACCAAGGTCTGCCCTAGCTTCGTTCTCAGGACCAGAGGTTTTGGTCTGTTTTGTTCATCGAAGCAGTTCTAGCACACCATAGCTGCTCAATAAACGTTGATTGAGGATAAATGAACGAACGAACCAAGCAATCACTTGAGCTGCTCATTTCTCTCTGGCCTTGGTAACCTATCTACCACCATCATGGAGCTCTGCTGAGACCTAAATGTGTAGGTGAATCTTTCCACTGCCACCTAAGTAGGCCTTGAGGACCTACTGTGTGCCCAGCCCTGTGCTAGGCATTGGTAGGGGAAAAAGCCCGTGCCCTTTTTTCAGATGTTCTGAGTCATGGAAATGCTTTCTTTGGATGAAATTTTACACCCCTGCCCCTCTCTGAGGCTGGCTGACTCCCACATGAGGCAGCTCAGAGGCTCTTTGTGACCACAGGTGGGGACAGAGGTGGGCCTGTCCTCCGGGGGACAGCCTGGGTGGGCTACCTTAGGTAAGTTACAAGGTTTCTTTGGGCCTTGTGGGGGCCTGGCACCTGCCCTGTCCCACCCCAGGAGGCCGGTGAGGTTTCAGTCATGGGAAGCCAGTGTGCTGTGGCCGGGAGGGCAGGCCTGCGCTTGAGATCTGGGCTGGACTCCAGGCTGACCAGTTCCAAATTCTGAGCCTCGTGCCTTCTCTTAGAAGGTGTGTATGTTCCAAAAAGAAGAAGAAGGTGTGTGTTCCCTGAGAGCCCAGACTGTTCATGCATTGCTATGTCCCCAAACCGGGAATGGTGTCAGATGCATAGTAGGGGCTCAGTGAATGTTGCAGAATGAATGAATGCCAAAGGGGACCAACAGTGCCCATCCCCGGAGCTGGTGGGGGAGAGAGGAAGTGCCTGGCACACAGCAGCTGCTTGTCCCATGTCACCCGGAGCGGAGAGTCAACCACAGTGCGGGCCGCTGGTCATAGGTCTGAGCTGTCTGCACAGGGGAGCCCCCAGGGTGAGGCTTTTGGGTGCCAAACCCTGCCCTCTGGGCCCTCCCTCTGGCCAGGGGCTTGGGCCTTTTGGGGGAAGGAGCAGAGGAGACTCACCATCTTACAGGTGCAGCGGTGAGAGACTGATGGCAGAGACGGAGGGAAAGAGACAAAGGAGGGAGTCAGGGCAGCCGGGTCTGTACCCCACTGCCCAGCCCCTCAGACTCAGGGGTGGAGAGGTGGCCCCCAAGGCGCCTGTGTCCTGTCCCTGACAGGTGTCCACGGCTGCCCCACCCCCACCCAAGGAGGCGGTGGGATTTCTGCCGCCGGGACCCCAGGGGTCCTGACACCCCTCCCCCGCCCCCCAGCTCACGCCTCGCGGGTTGCGCCAGGCAGCGCTGGGGTCCTAGCACCCCGCCCTTCCAGCGGGGGGCGCGCTGGGTCCCCGCGACCCCTGGCCCCGCAGCCCCCCTCCCTGGCTCTCCCCGGGGCGCGGGCAGGAGCCGGGGTACCTGGAGGGCCGCAGCGGCTCGGCGGGGCAGGCGGGCGGCGCGGAGCGGCGGGGGCTCGGCGGCGGCGGCGGCGGCGGCACAGCGGGAGCGGGCGGCTCCGCTTTATATAGAAGCGACCGGGACATGCCCATTGCGGGGCGGGGGCGGCGCGGGGCCCCAGCCGGCACCCCCCCCCCGCCGCCCCGCCGCCCGCGTCCGGACACCCGCCCCCCAGCCCGACACCTGGGCTCCAGGGTGGGGCCAGGGAGAGAGACCGACCAAGTGGAACAGAGGGTCACAGCCACAGGGCTGCGGTGAGGGAAAGACGGAGCCCGGACGGGGACAGGAAGAGACAGGGAGGCAGAGGGAGAGACAGTGCCGAATGGAAGGGGGATGGAAGAAAGAGAGAGGGAGAGAGGAGGAGCAGAGGGAGAGAGCTGGAGAGGGCAGAGACCGCGGCAGCGCTGCCCTTGGCCTTTTGGGGAGGGGTGGCCAGGAGAGCAGTCGGGGCCCACAGTCTGGAGTCCTGCCCTTGGATGGAGTCCTGAGCTCCCTAGCACACCCAGCCCCCAGCAGTCTGCCTCAGCCATGAACACTCTGCCCTGTGGCAGACTCTCCCAGAAAGGTCGGGTTGGGCAGGGGTCCCGTACATCTGTGGGGTTCCTGCCTCACCTCTCCTGGCCCCCACCAGAGTAGGGACCAATCAGTAAGAGGACCCCACAAGGGCAGTCCCAGTTTCCTGGGAGACCCTCTGCCCTGCAGGGGGCCAAGAGGGAAGGGGGTGCCCAAGCTGTGGGGTTCCAGTGGATGTGAGCCCAGGAAAGGGGGTGTGTACGGGATCTGTCTTGCCCATGGACACCCACGTCTGCTGGACACCGGCAATTACACCCAGTCTCCCCAAGACACACAACCTTACACCCAGGTGCATTCACCCAAGCACCCACAGAAAACACCTCAAGAGACCTGGCTCACGGCCACAAATTTGGAGACTCACACCCTCTCCTTGAGTGTCACAGTAGGCAGGTGTCAATCCTAGCTCCAGCCATAGGACCTGGGCACGTCCCCTTTCTGGTCTGAACCTCACTTTCCTCCTGCCTAAAATGGGGCTAGTTCCCATCTCACAGGGCTGTGGGGAGGATTAGTACATGGTCCTGCGTGCACCCACCACATGCAGGCTATTATGACAATTCCTCCACCTTACAGCCTCGAACCCACACCTTCTCCCTGCCTGTCTCAGAGCTGGAGACTGACTCCCTGGCTGTTCCCTGGGCTCGGGGGAGAGAACCGAGGGGCCTGTGGCATCTGTAGGGGCAGAGGGGACAGCTTTGGGTATACAGAGGACCCACCCCTGTCTACCACTGAAGGGACTCCGAGGGGAGAAATGATTCATCCAGAGTCCGTCCAGCCCAGCCCACATTCCCCACACAGCTTTCGGGGCTGGCTGCTCGGCGCCCTCCCTGGAATTAGGTGTGGCCACTCGAGAAGTCCATTCTCTTGCTGCAGGGGTAGCCTGAGCACCACGGTGGGAACAGAGGTAGGGCGCAGATGTCATCAAGGAGCATGAGCTTTTGGCACTTAACAAGAGTTAAAAAACTGAAATTCAACTGAATAATTTTAAAGATTTGATTGGCTTTATTCAACGATTCATAGGAGCTGTGCAGAATGAAAGACTTATAGGCAGAAGGGAGCAAAGACAAGGAAGTTGTACTGGGCAAAACAGCGGATTGGGTTCTGCAAGGTCGCTTTCCTTTAGGGGATGGCAGAGGTCTATCAGACGACCTAACTAGTGCTGATAATTGAGTCCTGATCCTGGTTTAAGATTCCATTTCTGGGGGCACCTGGGTGGCTCAGTGGGTTAAGAGTCCGACTCTTTTTTTTTTTTTAAGATTTTATTTGGGGGCACCTGGGTGGCTCAGTTGTTAGGCATCTGCCTTCAGCTCAGGCCATGAACCCAGGGGTCCTAGGATCGAGCCCTGCATCGGGCTCCCTGCTCAGCGTCCTCTCTCTGTTTGTGTTCCCTCTCTCGCTGTGTCTCTCTCTCTCAAATAAATATATATATTTTTAATTTATTTGAGAGAGAGAGAGAGTACACAAGCGCGGGGAGGGAGAGAGAGAATCTCAAGCAGACTCTGTGCTGAGCAGGAGCCAGATGCAGGCCTCGATCCCATGCCCCTGAGATCAGGACCTGAGCTAAAATCAAGGGTCAGACATTCAACCGACTGAGCCAGCCAGGCGCCCCATGTGTCCGGCTCTTGATCTCGGCTCAGGTCTTGAGCACACTGCTGGTGAGAGGCAGAGCTGGGGTCTTCCATCTGCCAGAGCGTGTGCACACATGTACGGAGAGCAGTGTGGTTCTGTGCCCACTCCCAGAGGGCCTTGGCCGGGCACCAGCTCTTGTGGCGTTTGCCTTGTGCTTGCAAGGAGGAAAGGTAAGGTCTGGGACTTGGGGCAAGCGGTCTGGCAGAGCGCTTCTGCTCTGTCTCTAGCCAGCTAGTGGTGGGGTGAGGAGAGGCAGCGTGTCAGCTGTGGCCCGGATCAACTGAACAATCATCCTCATAATACTGTGACTGATAGAGCGATCTTGGGGCTGGGGTGGGAACTTTTATCTCGTTATCTGTAGGAGAAAATCAAGCTCAGAGTGCAAGAGGACAATTCCTATGCAGGGACTTTGCAGGGAGTCTGAGTCTGGCTTCTGGACAGCGTGGGGATGGGGAACCTCAGGGGTGGGTGGCAGTGCAAGATGGAGACCATGGGCCCTCCCCACGACCAAGGTGGGGATCCATCTGCCCTTCTGCTTTTTAAAAACGTGTATTTATTTATTTTTAAGTAATCTCTACACCCAACATGGGACTCAAACTCAACGACCCCAAGATCAAGAGTTGCATGCTCTTCCAATTGAGCCAGCCAGGGGCCCCTGTCCTTCCACTTTTTTGCTTGGCCCCCACTCCTGTCCCTGGGGCTGACCCAGGCCAACAGACATCTCTGGGTGCCATCCCAGCTTCAGTGCCTGCAGGCTGAGTGCCATCAGATACATGGTTTGCCTTCCCTGAGCCGCCTTCCAAGCAGGTTTGTTGGGAGCGGGGGCTGCCAGGTTTACTGACTATGGTTGTTCAGATTGCTCACTGCACAAAGGTACCCAGCTGAGTGGTCACTTCCCCTTTGCCACACAGGGCTGCATGTGCCTGGAGGAGAGGTGTCTTTTCCCAACTAGCACACGGGTGCTGTAGGAGCTAGCATGGTCTTGTGAAGATAATGTGTGCAGAAGTGTTCACATGAGGAGGGTGCTAGTTCTCTCCTGGTCTGACACCCCCACACCCTACCCAGCTCAGGCTCCCCATGTAGATGTTTGATAATGGCACCTGCCCAGAAAATGCTTCCCTGAGCTGAAAAGGCATTGATTCAGCCCTAGCTGGAGGAGTCCTGCCGGAGACCATTTGCCCCTAAGGTCTATAACCAGTGGGACCCACTGTCACCATGGCCCCCCTCCCAGCCTCACGACAGATTCCGGGGCCCAGGGCCGAGGCTGCTGCTTTCCTGCTTCCCCACCCTCCGAGCAGAAGAACTGAGCCCTTGGAGGGCAGGGAGTCTAGGAGCAGACCCCAAGGGTAGGTCCCCCCACCGTACCTGCTACAGAGCCTGAGACTGCATTCGATGCCCTAAGGCTAAGGTGTTATCCAGAAGGCACAGAGCCCTGAACTCTAGGGGCTCTGCCCTTAATGGTGATCTTGGGCTGGGCACTCCATTTCCCCTTTCTCTAGTGAGGCGATCTGTGCTGCCTGCAGAGGGGGAGGGGATCTGAGAAAGAGTTCTGGGAAGTGCAGGTGAGTGGGTTATCGTTAAGCTACAGGTACCTTAGTGGGGCAGGGAGGAGGGAGGGAGGGCCCTGGAAGCTCTCTTTAAGGCCAGGGGGCCCAGCTGCTGCCCCACACTCCGAGGGGCTGGGACTCAGGCTGGGGCAGGGCCGGGGGAGTGGGTGGGAGCAGGAGAGAGAGCACCCTCAGGAGGACAGACCTGAGTGGGCGCCCAGTTGTAGGGGGCAGCTTCATGGCTGCTGATGTGGAGGCAGGGGTAAACCTGGGGTCTGCCATGGGCAGCGAGATCTTGGCTAAATCCCCTCCCCTCCTGAGCCTCAATTTCCCCCAGGAAACTCCGCAGACTTGGGTCTAGACCTCCGTGTTCCCTCCTCCAGGTGGTAGGCTCCTTGGGTACGGGATGGTCTGCCCCAGAGCCGGGCCCTGGCCAGGCACATACTAAGCACCAGATGAACATATGTTAAGAGTGAGTGTACCCCCACAACCTGTGGTGCTTTCACCAGAACATTCCAAATCAGGGGTCTGACCAATGGCCAGGCCAGTGTTCCAGCACAGCCACTGGGACGAGCAAGGTTGAAAAATCCACGGTGGAAGTGGGAGTCCAGATGCTTTCTCCCAGTACTCCAGAGTCCTACCATGCCCTGCCACCCTCCCGCCTGCAGGGCAGGGCCCCCAGGGAGGCAAGGCACCCGGGAAGGGGCACTGTAGGGACACAAGCCGGCATCGGAGCCAGCCCCGTTGTCCTGGTGATGGCTCATGTCTCAGGCACCCCAGGCACCCACAGGGGCAATTATCAAGTGTGGGAGGGAGTTTCCATGGTGGCAGTCCCGAGGGGGTACGACCAAGGCTTTGGGAGTGGGCAAGGGCCTGTGGGACCTTTCTCCTTTGTCCCGGCACAGTAGGCTTTTGTTCTCGCCTGGCTGTCTCTGAGGACGGGAGCAGCACCATGGGTGGGGGGCAGACTTGGGTTAGAGTGCCCCCGCCCTTGGGAGGCCTGAACCAACCTGGGAGGAGGGGAAGAACAGGGGCTAGAGCCCCACTTCTGGGCCCAGCATCCACTTGGGGAGCCTTCCTCCCACAAGCGCCAGAGCCTTACCTGCCCCCAAGAGGCTGCGCGAGGCGGCTCGCCATTGGCTCCTGCTGCGGGTAAACAGCTTTCAGCAGCCAATGGGCAGCCGCGGTGCATCCCGTGGGAACCCGGGCCGGCCGGACCCGCAGGGCTGGGAGGGGGTGAGGTCTAGAGTTGGGGGTGGAGAGCGTTCAGTCCAAATCCATCAGGCTTCTGCTCAGTCCGACTTTATTCGAGGCCTCCCCAGGAGCGCTCCGGGGTCCGCTGGCCCAGCCAGGTGCCCTTGACCCCACACCTCTTCAGCACCAGCTTCCACGCTTGCAAGGGCCCGGGCACCAGGACGGCTCCGTGGGAGGATGGCAGGCCGGGGCCCCTGAAACCGCACTCGGTGATCTTCCTTCATCCTCGGGTCCGACAGTCCCTGGGCAGGGAGCTGAGCCGCCAGATCCCAGCCGTAAAGTGCAGTGCCCATTTATGAGGCGGCCATCAGTCGATCGGGCAGTTGGGGTTAGGGGACACTGAGTCCATGATGCCCTCAGAAGTCGAACCTTCAGAACCGGGTATCCAGGAAGGAGGCGGAGCCTCGATGAGACCTGGGGGGGCCCTCGAGAGGGGGGCCCCTGGACCGAGTCAGGAGCCCGTGGAAAGTCTTGCCTCGGGTCTGGGGCTTGCGTCGCGGCGGCCTGGGCTCCTCTGGGGGCTGCACCACTATCTGGGGCACCTCGGGCCTGGTGCCTCCCTGCACCCCTGCCAGCTGCTGGGCCTCAAAGATGGCTTGGGCCCCAGGCAGGCGGGCCTGAGGCCTGGGGGGTGGCCCGGACGTCGACTCAGGCAGCCCGGCCAGCTGGACCTTGATCTCCCGCTGCAGGTCCTGCTCAGACAGCGCCACGCTGTGCACCTGCGGGGAGTGGTTGGTACTGAGTGTGCCCAGACTGGGGGAGGGCAGGAAACCATGAGGTCCCCACAGGGCGGGCAGGACACAGCCCCAGGAAGTGGCTGAGGGCTGAGGGACTGAAAGCCAGACTCACTAAGGGAACCATAGAAATCTACTTGAAGCCTGGGGTTTTCACATTCTCTGCTGCTCAGAGGACAGGAACTGGGCCCCGGGTCTCACACTGACTTCCAGCTGTGAGACTCGGTCTCCCCACCTGAGCAGCAGGGGCTGGGCCATTGTGGAAGGCAAGGCAGGGGGGGCACCCACCTGGGACATGAAGACCTCCTCCTGCAGCTGGGTGGGGGGGATGGCTCGTAGGGCACCAAGGGTCTCCAGGAGCCCGGGGCAGGCCAGGCGCTGCTCAGTGGTGCCTAGTGCCAGGCGCACCAGCGTCAGCCCCACGCGGAACAGCACCTTCACACCTGCCGGCCGTGGGGCTCACTCAGTGCAGGGCCAGCCCTGCCCCTCCTCGGTTCTGTACCTGAACCTGCCCTCCGCCAGGCGCCTTCCACCCCCCTGCAGCTCCGCAGCCGACTCAGACCAGGAGCAGTGAGTGACAGTGGGACTGCGATGTGGGGGTATTGATGAGTGGGTAACTGCGGCCGCAGGCGCTTCCGGGCAGAGCAGCCTCCCAGCAGTCAGGGGCTACGCCTCCTCACGCCCGCTCTCTGCGCCTCGGCAGCTCATCCTTGCAAGGAAGGCCTTTCTAGCTCAGATCTGTGACCTTCTTGTTCTAGAGGGATTCTCGCCAGCCTCTTCACGGCTAAGCCAAGAGCATAGTGCACGCGTGCAAACACCCATGCACGCTCGCTCACGGGCACGCGCGGGTGTGACCTCGGGCTGTTCCCGCAGCCTCAGAATCTCTTCCGGGCAGCCTCGAGTCTGGGGACCAGTGAGGTCTGGTGACAACCATGCCTTGTAAAGACATGATCACAACCATTCGTGTCATCATCATGACAAAACGGAGCTCGTGACATTGCTTGTCCAGAGGGCTCCGCCTGCCCTGCCCGGTCCCCAAGGTGTGAGGCTGGACGGGGTGGTGACACGGAGATGGCAGCTTAGACACCTGTGACCAGAGCTCTAAGGGGGCCTGGAACCAACTGGGCACACAGCAGGTGCTCAATAAATGTACTGATTGATTTCTACCATTTTTCAGTTGTAACTGCCAGACAACCCATAGAGAACAGAATGCAGGTGGGTTATCTATGGGGGTACCGAGGCCGAGCCCCCAAGTCCTAAAACGTCCAGCTCAGCTCTGCCCCGACTGCCCCCACTCTTGGCCTGACCTCTCCGGCTTCATCTCTGTCCACGCCCACACCCCCAAGTCGTCAGTGGCCTGGCCCTGTGGACAGTGTCTCTCCCAGCCTCCTGGCCTCCACATGGGCCCCGCAAGTCTGCCGCCCCCACGGAGAGGCCAAAAGCATCTTGAAAACAGCACTCTCCTCCCACTGTTCCCCTAACACTCTGGCACATCCCTTGTTGTATTTTCTTCATGGCACTTATGACAATCTAGAAATACCTTTTTTTTTAAGCTCTATGCCCAACGTGGGGCTTGAACTCGTTGACCCGGAGATCAAGAGTCACACACTCCACCCCTGAGCCAGCCGGGCGCCCCTATAAATATCTTGTTATTTGGTTACTGTTGGCTCCCGTCCCCACCCCCACCAGAATGTAGGTCTCGTTCACACAGGGGTCCCAGCATCTACAGCCATGCGGGGCACCAGCGAGGGCTCCCCGAGTGCCTGTGGGCTCCAGGGATGAGCGCTCCCCCACTCCCCCCACCCCGTCCCTGCCACTGGCCGTGCCCACTGAGCCCAGTCCCCGAACAGCTGCACCGCTGGGATCTCCCCAGCTCTGCCCCGCCTCCCTGGGGGGGGGGGCCTCCCTGGCCCCAGCCCGCCCTCAGCAGAGCCTGCCCTCCCTCGGGGGCGGCGGTGTCTCTCGTCACAGGGGCAGGAGCGCCAGCCATCACACCAGGGACGTGCAGGCAGGGGCTGGGCTGCTCCCCAGAGCCAACCCGACACCATCGCCCTTGGCACCCATTGGCACCCACACCAGGGGCCAGGATTGGCAGTGGCAGGTGGGGCAGAGCAGAGCTGGTGTGCTCGTCCCTGTGTGCACCCCAAGGCTCCCAGGCCAGGCCGCGTCTCCCCCGCCCCCCAGCTGCCCACTCACCCTCGCTGAAGAAGGCGTCCCAGACGCGCAGCACGGTGGGGAAGGGCAGGGAGCGGGCAAAGAGGCACAGGAACCACTCGGGCAGGTAGAGCAGAGGCCCGACGCCCACCTGCTGCAGGTGCTTGTGCACGCGCGGGAGCAGCCGTCGAAGCAGGGCCATGAATACCTCGGCGTCCAGCTGCACGGCCTCCTGCAGCCACGTCCGTCAGGGCATCCGCTCCCGAAGCCCAGGCTCTGCCCCTCTCCGTCCCCAGGCCCCTGCCCGCCTGCCCAGTCCTTCCCGGTGCCCTCCGGCCCCCTCCCAGCCTCTCACCATGTGGGGCCCGTAGTAGCCGGGGAGGTAGACCTCGCAGATCTGTACCAGGCACCAGAAGGCCTCCTGGGTGGGGGCACAGAAGGAACCGCGGGGTAGGGGAAAGGAGCACAGGGGAGGGCCTATGTACCCTCTGGGGTGACTCTGGAGCCCGGAGCCTAAACAGCCTAAACTTGGGCTCTTACCAAAAGTCTCCCCACTACCCAGAGGCCTACTGATGGGTTTAGGCGGTTGGAAGTCATAGGGTTCATGATGTCGAATTTCAGAGTCACAGAGCTGGGGTTTGCTGGTCAAGGGCTGGGAGGGTCCCAAAGTTCAAGTCCTGAGCTCTTGGGGTCATTGAGATCACGGTCACAGGGCTCAGAATCAGGAGTCGTGAGGTCAAGGGGACAACGTCCAGATTCTTAGGTCACTGGGGCAGGGGGCAGGGGCGAAGGGTCCCAGGTTCCTGGAGTCAAGGTTGTTGGGCTTGAAAGTCACTGAGGTTGGTGGTCATGAGGCCCTAGGTCACTAGGACAGGATCTGGGAGTCAAGGAGCCCAGTGCCTGAGTCCAGAGTCCCTGGGGCTGGGGGTCAGGGTCTCGAGCCCCTGCAGCGGGGCCGGGGGCACTCACCTCCGGGGGCAGATGCATGAGTAACACGGCTGCCACAGGGCCTTGGGCCTGACAGTAGCCCTGCTCGGGCCGATGCAGCGTGTAGGCCTTGAGTACCTGCAGGAGCCCCTGCTGCCTGTGCCGGGAGACCCCATCAGGGGCTGGTCCTCCAGGTACCCCTTCCCCACCCTCCAGGGGCCTCTTCCCAGGCCTCAGCCCCACCCCGGGCCTTGCTGGGTCCCCCCAAGAGGTAAGGCTATAATGCTGAGGCAGGGGTCTAGGCTGAAGGCCTTGGAGGTTGTGGGGCTGGAGGTCCCTGGGTGTAACTGGCCACCTACCCGTGACCCTGAGGTGACACAAACATCTCGTGTAGAGGGAACTGACGGTGCAGGTCCCTGCTGATGGTCTCCATCCACTGTGGGTCTCCAGGGGCCTTGGCCAGTTGCTGCGGGGGGACAGGAAGGTGGTGGGCAGGGCTCAGAGTGGCGAGGGGCTCTGGAAAGGGGAGGCGGGGACCCCGCCAACTCTTACCTCATAGGTACAAGGGTTCTTGTTCTGACACACGTGGGCCCCGCACAACAGGGGCCAGCACCGGGGCCTCAGGGCCGAGGGGATGCCTTTCCGACACTGCATCTTTACCTGCGGGTGACGCCAAGGGGCCCCGTTAGATCAGCCAGGCCAGCTTCCCCTGCTCCTGTTGGCAGGTCCCAGGCCCCAGTCTGTCATGGGGCAAGGGTCCCTTTGGGTCGCAGGGGGAAAAGACAGGAGGTGCTGGGACACAGGAGGGGTACAATTTGCCAGGGTGTGGGCAGAGGCAAAGGGGGATGAGCCAGGGAGCCCCATCCTGCCCTCACCTTCTTGTACCGCCGAGACATGGTTTTCTCCCAGTGCGAAGTCATCTCTACCCACTTCATCTCCCGCTGGCGGATAAGGTCTGCAGGAGGGTAACCTGGCCTACGGGCACAAGGCACAGGCATGGAGGTGTTGGTTAGCTGTTTCCCAGGGCCCACACCTGCCACCCTCCATGCTGCCCCAGGGAAGCTCAGCTCCTGGCCGTGGAGATCTCTGGGGGGTAACCTGTAACCCAGGAGTTGCCAATGGTTGTCACAGGGACGGGAAAGGATGTGACTCTGATGTGGGCAGAAGCGGGAGAGACTGAAGGGGGTGTGTAGGTACGTGGGGGGGGAGGGGCCGGTTGGCTGTCCCCCAGGATGGGAACACAGACAACTCATAAGAGAAGAGAGGTGGACAGAGCCGTGGACTAGAAGCCAGTCCCGAGTTCTCTGTCTGATCTGCTGTGTGACCTTGAGCCAGTTCCTATCTGGACTTGTTTTCCTATCTATATATTGGGAAAGGGGAGGGGTAGAGGTATGGGTTCTTTGGTATGGTTCTGGGATTACTGGGGCAGATCAAAAGGTGATGGGTATTTGGCCCCAAGGATAGGTGCAAAGCCTGGGAGGTTGGGGGAGGAGGGACACCCCTGCCTCAGCTCTGCCAGCTTTAGGATTCCACCTGGAGCACGAAGAGGGGTGACACTGGCTGAGTCCCCACACCCCCCAGGACCCTCGAAGTTCAGCCTCACTCTAGAATTCAGCCCTCAGCCCCCAACCTCAATCCCAGCACCCTGCCGCCCCCATCCCTTCCCTACTTACCCTGGCTCTGCTGAGCTGCCCCCAATGAAGCCATAGCGGTCAGCCTGGCGATATGGGCCGGGCCCACTCAGCTCTGAGTCGGACCCCAGAGAGCTGGAGTCGTCCTGCTGCTCTAACGTTTGCACCAGGTCCTCCCCCAGGGCCTGGGCCATGGTGCCCCAGACCCAAGCTACCACGGGCTGTAAGGTGTGGAAGAGCCGGTGTGAGAGGCAGCTTCTGGCCAGCCTGGAGCCTGGGCTCCCATCCAGCCAGTCCCCAGCCCAGGGACCCGGCTGCAGTGTTCAGAGGGGAGAGGCTTCAAGGTATCTCACCAAGCCCCTTCTGTCCCCTCTTTTATTGGAGGGGGGGATGGTGGGCCCTGAAGTAGCAGAAAAGCCAAGCCTCTGTATAGAGGCCCAGCCCCAGACTCAGCCCCTGCCCGCCCCCCCCCAGACCAGCTTACCTCCCTGCTGCACCTCACCTCCTCCTCTCACTTCCTCCTCTGGCAGCTTCAGCAACCCGCTGGGGGCCCCTCCCACACTCCCACAAGTGTGGGGGGAGTCACCCCTTCCTCTCTGAGGCTCTTCCGGTCTGCCCCAGTGCCCCCAGGGCCGTGGGCTCCTCCCCTCCCCTCTCCTCTCCTCCCCTCCCCTCCCTTGGGCTGGACGGCTGCAGGCTTGGGTTCCTGCGTTGGGTGTGAAGGGGCCAGGACCCACCCGAGGTACAGAGGCCAGGCCCCCTCCAGTTTTGAGGTTATCGGCTTGTAAAACAATTCAGGATTCCAGGGACGCCTGGGTGGTTCAGTCAGTTAAGTGTCTGCCTTTGGCTCAGGTCATGATCTCAGGGTCCTGGGATCAAGTCCTACATAGGGCTCCTTGCTCAGCGGGGAGCCTGCTTCTCTCTCCGCCTGCAGCTTTCCCTGCTTGTGCTCTCTCGGGCTCTCTCTGACAAATAAGTAACATCTTAAAAAAATAAATAAAAATAAAAAAATCAAGATTCCAGTGAGAATTATGATTTAATATTTGCTCTTTACAAAGTAATGCTTTGAATATGCACATAAAGCAGCATTATTATGCACTCAGCAGGTAATAATGGATCTTACCAAAAAATATTAATTTAGCGTGCCCCACAGTGTGAACCAAGTTGGGTTCAGAGTGCAGCAGCAGGTATCTGGGTCTGGCCAGCTGCCTGGGGGCCACAGAGGCTCAGGAGGTGGACGCCGGGGTCTTGGACCAGCCCCTTGTTATCCCTGAGCCTCAGTTTCCTCTTCTGCACTTCGAGGACTTAATCCGCAGTGTTTGGGGAATCGGTTATTAATGTGCTTACACCACACTCCCGCCTAAGGTGGGAAGGGCTGGTTAGCCTTCGATAGAGAAAAACAACTTCTACAGTACTTCCGGCCCCATATTCTCGGGACGGGACTCGCATCACTCCTCAGGGGTGGGACCAGACTCAACCCCGCCCCACCAAGCTCCACCCACCGACCAGGCTTCGTTTTAGATAGACCAAACTCAGCCCAAGCCCCGCCCCGCCCCTATGCCCCGCCCCCGGACCGCCGCGGCCGCTGCGCCCGGCGCCCAGCGGGGGCGCTAGAGCGCGGGGGCAGCGCGCGGGGCGGGGCGGCAGGCCCAGGAGGCGGGGCGGCAGGCCGGGGCGGGCTGGGGCGGGCGGAAGGAGCGCCAGGCCGGAAGGAGGCAGCGGGAGGGCGGGCGGCAGGAGCGGGCCCGGAGCTGCTGGGCCGGAGCGGCGGAGCCGCCATGTCCGACAGCGAGAAGCTCAACTTGGACTCTATCATCGGGCGCCTGCTGGAAGGTTGGCCGGGGCGGGGGAGGTCGGTGCCCGCCGCGCCCTGGCCCTCTGCCTGGCCCGGAAGTGGTGCGCGGGCGGGCCTGCCCCTCCCAGGGCCAGCTTAGACTGGGCGGGGACGGGCCTCGAGGTCCCGCGGCCATAGCCGCCCCCCCAGGCGCGGGGCGCCTGGGCGGTTCTGGGGACGCTCTGGCAAGGGGAGCAGCCCCTTCTCCTGGGCCGGGGGCGCACAGGTTGGCCTGTGCTCTTGGGGGTGAGGGAGAAACCTAAGAAGCCTAGCTCCACCCCTCCCAGGGGTCCTGCGCTATGGGGTGGGGTGACAGGCCCCCCCCCCCCGCGCACAGCAGACCCCCCTGGAGGGGTCCCATCCTGGGAGGCTCAGCAGCAACAGCTGCCCCTGGGCAAGGAGGGGCCCAGGAGGCCCAGGCGCCCTCAGATGTGCCCACAGGGCCACTTGTGTCGCCCACCTTCCTCCTGCCTGAGGGACCAGAGGCTTGACGCCCCATTCCGCCCCCAGTGCAGGGCTCGCGGCCTGGAAAGAATGTACAGCTAACAGAGAACGAGATCCGTGGTCTGTGCCTCAAATCACGGGAGATCTTCCTGAGCCAGCCCATTCTTCTGGAGCTGGAGGCACCCCTCAAGATCTGCGGTGAGCCCTCTGCCCAGGCCCCTTTTGCTTTCTGAAAGCGGCATTCCCCCCGCCCCGCCTCCCAAGTCCTTGCAGTGCTCCTCCTCGGAGCCCAGACTTGGCCCTGGGTTCAAGTGTAGCCCCTGCACGTCGCGCTGAACCCGTTCCCTGGGTCACAGGTGACATCCATGGCCAGTACTACGACCTTCTGCGGCTATTTGAGTACGGCGGCTTCCCTCCAGAGAGCAACTACCTCTTCCTGGGGGACTATGTGGACCGGGGCAAGCAGTCTTTGGAGACCATCTGCCTGCTGCTGGCCTATAAGATCAAGTACCCCGAGAACTTTTTCCTTCTGCGTGGGAACCACGAGTGCGCCAGCATCAACCGCATCTACGGCTTCTACGATGAGTGTGAGTAGACAGAGTATCTGGGGCTGCCCAGTCCTTAAGGGACCCCGCTGTCCAGTGAGACCCTCACGCTGGGTTGGCGATAAAGATAGCAGCGTCCGACGGATACCTGCAGACTGGGCTCTGTGAAGCGCACGCCAGCCCGTGTCTCCCTGCCCTGCCCTCCTGGCACGGGGCCTGGCGCTCGGAAGGGGTCTGGCGAATGGCTGCTGACTGAACACTGCCCAGTGTTCTCCTGCGGGGCCCTGCCTGATGACACTCCCCTCCGGTACATCCGGGAGCACTTAGGATGCCTATCTGGACTGGCTTCTGCCGGCCAGAAGTTGAGATAAACCAGACCTGGTCTTGGCCTGGCCCTGCTCACTGGGTGGGGGTGGGTTGTTCCAGATTGGAACTCAGGTTCCTGTGGGCTCAGCTGCCTTAGAATTCTTCTAGGAAGGCTGGTAGGCAGTGGAGTGGGGGGAGGGGCTTCTCTGGCCTGCCACTCTCTTCTCCCAGCTGTGTCTGAGGGGCCCACGGGGTGCCCTGGAGGGCCCAGAGAGCCAGGCTGGGTGTGAGGCAGACGGGCCTAACGAGGCCTCTCCTTGCCCCCGGCAGGCAAGAGACGCTACAACATTAAACTGTGGAAGACCTTTACTGACTGTTTCAACTGCCTGCCCATTGCTGCCATTGTGGACGAGAAGATCTTCTGCTGCCATGGAGGTGAGAGTGGCTCTGGGGCACATGTCGAAAGGAATGTCCAGGAAGGAAGAGCCCCGGGCCACATCCCTGGGGGCCTTGGGACGAGGCTGGTAGCTGGGGGGGGATATAGTCCCAGTCACCTGGAACAGCTCTCCCAGTGCTCTTGCTTTGCACATCACTTCTTCCAGGAAGCCCCCCCGCCCCCCCCACCCCAGTACTCGGTTCCGCTCACCCCCGTTTTGGCCTTGGCATTGTGCATGGACTTTGTCTCCTTTGTTCAGAGAGCTCTGTGGTCCTTGAGGCAGAAGGGGATGACTTCTGCCTGCCTGGACTCCTGGGACTTTGGGAGGGAGCCAGGTGGTGGCAGGTAGAGGGGAGGCTGACCTGCAGAGGCTTTGTGGAGCGGGGGGTGGGTGGGTGGGAGGTGTCTTTGTTTTGAGGCTTGAGGAAGTGACCTGCCCCCCCCCCCCCGCCTTGCTCCCCCAGGCTTGTCCCCAGACTTGCAGTCCATGGAGCAGATTCGGCGTATCATGCGGCCCACAGACGTGCCTGACCAGGGCCTGCTATGTGACCTGCTGTGGTCTGACCCTGACAAGGACGTGCAGGGCTGGGGCGAGAATGACCGTGGTGTCTCCTTTACCTTTGGGGCTGAGGTAGTGGCCAAGTTCCTGCACAAGCACGACTTGGACCTCATCTGCCGGGCGCACCAGGTGGGCTGGCAGCTCTGGGGTGGGTGGGAGCGGGGGCTGGGTAGCCAGCACCTGCTGAGCTAACTGCCCCTATCCTCATCCAGGTGGTGGAAGATGGCTATGAGTTCTTTGCCAAGCGGCAGCTGGTGACACTCTTCTCAGCTCCTAACTACTGTGGCGAGTTTGACAACGCAGGTGCCATGATGAGTGTGGATGAGACGCTCATGTGCTCCTTCCAGGTGGGGATGGGGAAGGAAGGGGCCTGTGACCCCGTGGCTTAGCCTGTGAGCCTGACCAGCTCTGTCTCTTTTAGATCCTCAAGCCCGCTGACAAGAACAAGGGGAAATACGGGCAGTTCAGTGGCTTGAACCCTGGAGGCCGGCCCATCACCCCGCCCCGCAACTCCGCCAAAGCCAAGAAATAGCCTCTGTGTGCCCGCACTCTGCCCCAGATGGTGGATTGTACAGAAATTATGTGGCCTTTGGGGGGTTCACGCTGGCCCCCCAGGCCCACCTGTCACGGGGAACACGGAGCCTTGGTGTGTTTTTCTTTTTTTTTTAATGAATCAATAGCAGCGTCCAGTCCCCCAGGGCTCCTTCCGCCTGCACCTGCAGTGGTTGCGAGCAGGATCCTGGGGCCGAGGCTGCAGCTCAGGGCAAAGCAGGGCCAGATGTGGGTTTCCAGCCTTGCTTGGCCTCAGGGCTGGCAGACAGATCCTGGGGCGACCCATCTGGTCTCTTGAATAAAGGTCAAAGCTGGATTCTCGCCATGGCCTCCGTTTCCCTTGTCCCAAATACTGGGCCTGGCAGCCCTTCTGTCCAGGGCCACTTGGGAGGATAGGCTTGCTGGGCATGGGGCCCCAGCCAGGGTAATCCCAGCCACAGGCTCAGGTACACAGGGGCTTAGAATCCCAAGCCAGGGCCAGACAGCATAGAGAAAGCAAGAAAAAGTTTGCGGGCCACAAGGGATCCCAGAGGTGTGCCCAGGATTTGGGGGAGGGACAGGTCATGATTGGCAAAGAAGGTAGACCAGCAGGGGCCAACAGCCCCTCTGTGATTTCTGTCTTAGGGAGGTACGCTTGGGGAAGGCAGGTGTCCAGCCCTAGCCACCTGGTTGGAGTCTGGCCTAAAGGCCTACTGGGAGGGGAATAATAGGTGAGGGACCTCCCATCAGGTGGTGGCTCATTGCCAAGCCTGGGGACAGACATGATTGGTTGGGAGTTGATGAGAGAACATAGGACCCAGACTAGTCACAGATAGCCACGAGGGACCTGGGGTGGCAGCAGGACCAGCGCTCAGCTCCAGCACAGCCCACCTTGACCACCCAGCAGGGTGGAGATCAGCCCTATCCCTGGGCTGCCCCTGGGGGAAGGGGGAGGCTGTGGCTTCATCTAGTCCAGAGCCTCTGGACACAGGCTTGTTCTCAGTTCAGCCTTCACCCTCACTATCTTCAGCCAGCACAGGGCTGGGGCCCGGAGGGGAGTGTGCAGGGGCGAGGATGGAGCCAAAGAACAGCGAGCGGAACTGGAAGGTGAACAGAGGAAGCAGAGTGAGTTCTGGAGGCTGCTCCGTCCTTGCCTCCCACCCCTGCCTCCATCTCCAGCCCCTACCTTCTTGGGTGGGGGAGTCCCAGGCTGTGTACCGGCCTCAGCTTCATTGTCCTCTGAGTAGGGGCCAGGGCTACAGGGGGGCCGGAGGCCGGGAAAAAGGGAGACGGAGGGTACCGCCCGGGAGCCCTCGCTGTCCGCAGTGGTCTCCATGGCAATCATGTAAGAGTCGATGTCATCGTTGGCAAAGTCATCCAGGTGGGGTGTGCTGCAGGCAGGGACAGGGTGTCAGCGAGCCACAGGGAGAGAAGAGGGTACAGAGGCAGGACCCCACTTTAGAGGACTCAGAGGGAGCGGTGAAAGCCTTGCGGCCACTGGTGACCCCTTGGCTTTATTACTTTCTCATTTGGTTGGAGGGGAAAGATGCTGTGGTTACGTGGCGGCTTCCTACAGGGTGTGGACCTGGAATCCGTTTGATCAGAGTTCAGGTAGGGGCCTGAGGGAAGCATCCTGGGAGCCAGTATAGCTCAGCTGGGGTAGAGAAGCATCGAGTCCTCCGAGCTAGGCCACCTGGGGCCAAAGCCTCCGCCCTCCCAGGAGACAGAGCTGGAGAGCACTGGGGCCCAGGGACGTGCTGGGCAGGGGGCCAGACCAAACTTCCTCTGCTTCGGCTACACTGGGCCCATCCGCCCCGGCCCACCTGCCCTTCCAGCCACCTGCCTCCCGGCAGCCTGTTCCCTCC